TTTTCCCCATTCAAAACTATACGAGTGACATGTCTTGGGTATTCTATAGTCTTTGGTAGTAATTAGTCATTTGTAGTGGATTACTTTTTTTGAGTAACTTACCCAACACTGATAATCATACATACATGTTTGCTGTAAAATGCTTGATGATCCAGGTGCTGCTGGACCACGTCTCTTCACCATCCATCAGATCGACGCCAGCACCAATAAACTGCTCTCTTAAATTGTAATATTTCACAATATGGCTGTTTTTACTGTATTTTTATCAAATAAATGCAACTTTTATGAGCATAAGTGACTTTTAAAAAAATTAAATAAAAATAGTCTTACCAACCCCAAGTTTTTGAATGGTAGTGTATAAATATTACAAATATTTGAAAACAATATTTTTGTTATCATTATACAATAATAATAAGATAGTATTCTCAAATGTCAAATATTAGACAATTAATCAGTCTCACCAATATATCAGTCCATCTCTAGTACAAACTATTTTCTGCACTAATTCACCACTATTAATTTCTTTTCAATTGCGGCTCAGCTTCAACCGTATTGACATTCCTCCATACGAGAGCTACGATAAACTCTATGACAAACTGCTGACGGCCATCGAGGAGACCTGCGGCTTCGCTGTGGAATGATCGTCCGCCGCCGGAGCTCGCAGAGGAACCTTTCTCCAGGCGGGACAGACCTGTCAGTCAGCCGGCAGATGTGTGGGCCTCACGAGGAGCTCAGACGGAAAGGCTGAGGAAGGGTGGATTATCCCGCAGCACTCGACGCCTGATGCTGCTATACAGATCTTTCTGCATTATTTGAAAAGAAGAGAAGAAAACAACGTATCTTTTCAGCTGCTAGTAACTCTCGTACTTACTATTTTGGAACCTCCTCTTCCTCTTCCTCTTTTTTTTTTTTTAAAGTCCATACGTTGATTTTTAGCATTAAGACAACATATTAACAGTATTTCATGTAGCATTTTCACAGACTAGACTTTAGGAGAGGCCGAACTTTAGCGGGGCACACAGAACAAGAGTGTTCAGGCATAAGCTAACGCAGAAGCACTACTGTTCTTACCGAAGACTAGACGAGAGGAAGAAGCCAATGTCAACTAAAGACTAAGTTTGTCATTTGGGACTTGCAAAGGGTGCTGATCTTCGGCCCACTTGGACTTCAGCAAGCCGCGAGATGAATTTCCTTTCGATCAGGGAACTGGTGCTGGACCACGTCTCTTCACCATCCATCAGATCGACGCCAGCACCAATAACCTGCCCAAAGCACACACGTGGTGAGCACATCTCTACAGACTTGTGATCAACCAATATGTTTTTTTCAAAGGAGAGAGAGCAGTGTAGTAAAAAGCTCAATATAATGAAAATATATGTACAATTTAAAGAAAACTTTATTTTTGTATTTATATTTAAAATATTACACACTACCATTCAAATTTTAAAAGAAATTAATACTATTATTAAGCAAATTATTTACAAGTGCTGCTTTATATATATATTTTTTTTCATTGTATGATAAATATGTGTGGGTGGGTGCATTTTTGCATTTATATTTTTTTATTTTATGATTTTTTAAATTATTATATTTCCTTTTAATTAGATTATAGAAATATTTAAAATGTACACTGTCCTTAAAGTTTGCGGTCAGTAAGATTTTTTTTTTTAATGAAATGATTACTTTTATTCAGCAAATGTACATTAAATTATTTAAAAGTGACAACAGAGAGACATAATATTATAAAAGATTTGTTTTAATTAAATGCTGTTCTTTTGACATTTCTATTCATAAAATAATTCTGAAAAACTCTCACAGTTTCCACAAACATATTAAGCTTACATCTCACGATATATATATAACGTTGATTTTTAGCATTAAGACAACATATTAACAGTATTTCATGTAGCATTTTCACAGACTAGACTTTAGGAGAGGCCGAACTTTAGCGGGGCACACAGAACAAGAGTGTTCAGGCATAAGCTAACGCAGAAGCACTACTGTTCTTACCGAAGACTAGACGAGAGGAAGAAGCCAATGTCAACTAAAGACTAAGTTTGTCATTTGGGACTTGCAAAGGGTGCTGATCTTCGGCCCACTTGGACTTCAGCAAGCCGCGAGATGAATTTCCTTTCGATCAGGGAACTGGGCTCCACTGGCCTCTTCTGGGCTGCCCTACACCAGACACCATCTTGACTGCTCCATTCCTCAAGACTGGTGTCATCCGCAGACTGATTTATAAGCTTGTTGAACGTGAACGTGAACGAATACATGAATTCTTAGGTAGGTAGGTAGTCTAGCTTTATTTTTTTACGGCGTGAGAGGACGAGGTAAAAAGAATAAAATTATACAGATCTAATATATTGGCATCGTCACAGGAACCGTTGCCGATGTTTCCAGAGCAGAAAATGAAGTTGTGCCCATTGAAAAGGCTTCAGTGAGGTTGGCATTGGCTTGCTTTGAATGTTCAAATTCCATCTTTTTTTTTTTTGTAAGAAAACTTGTGAAGAAAAACATTTTAATATGTTGCATTATTGGTGTCAACTTTTTGGTAAACTGTATTCTTATTTGTCTCCGATGTCAATCGAACCCTTTAACAGATTTAAATATGATGCATATGTATGAGCATGTTAATGAGATGTGAAGTGTCTTCCATTTCATACCTTCTCATTATATTGTTACCGTTTATTTTCTGGGCCTGTTTTTTATTATTATTATTTCATAAAAGAAGAAATGTAACTGTTTACCCCTCATGGAAATCAAGGGAGAGTAGTGTCCGTATTACTTCTTATTTTTGTAATTTATTATTAACCCATTGTAGTACCAATTTACTGAACATTTTTACCATGAAAAATGTCACTGGCCTTCAGTGAGCATTACAGACGAACTGCAAGAATCGCTGTACTAAAGATCAAGAAACAATTCTGTCTTTTATAGAAATACATCAGCTTTAGGGGTAAATCTAGCAGAAAACAACAAAAGCATGTCTGATGTGCTCTTTGTAAGCCTCTGAAATGCACATCTTGAAAATCTGTTCCTTCAAGATTATTAAAAGAAACTGCATAGATAAACACATGCGGT